ATTTTATATATATTAGTGTATATATATATCAATCCCAATATCTTCCAATTCATCCCACCACCTCCCCAACCCCTCTGCTTTCACCCCCTTGGTATCCATTCATTTGTTCTCTACATCCGTGTCTCTTCTCTTTTTTTTCAGCCAGTCTAGCTAGAGATTTCTCAATTTCATTGATATTTTCAAAGACGCAGGTTTTAGTTTCATTGAATTACTCTCCTGTTTTTCCATTATCAATTTCATTACTTTGTGCTCTTAATAGTCTCTGCCTTGTGCTTATTTTGATTTCAAATAGCTCTTTTTTCTCAAGCTTCTTAAAATTGAAGCTTAGATCACTAATCTAAAATTTCCTTTTTCCTAATGTAAATATTTAATGCTAAAAATTTCCCTCTAAGTATTGATTTGACTGCATCCTTCACATTTTGATATGCTGTTTTTTTTCTTTCATTCAATTAAAAATATTTTCTAATTGCACTGTGTCTTCCTCTTTGACCCATGGGATATCTAGAAGTATCTTAATGTCCAAATATTTGGGAATTTCCAGGTATCTTTGTTATTGATTTTTAGTTTAATTCCATTGTGGTTGGAGAACAGGCTTTGTATACTTTCAATTCTTTTAAATCTTGGCTTGCTTTATGATACAGAATATGGTCTCTCTTGATGAATATTCCATACTCACTTGAAAAGAATGTATATTCTGTTGTTGCTGGGTAGAGGGACCTACAAATGACTATTAGTTGATGGTGCTTTTCAGGTGTTTTCTTCCTTACTGATTTTATGTCAAGTCATTTTGTTGATTACTAACAGAGGAGTGTTGAAGGCAGGGGCCAGTCAATCATGAAAGTCCTTTTTAGCTAAATTAAGGAGTATGAAGCTTACCCTGAGTTATGGAAGCTGACAGGAGATTAACTTTAAGAAAGAGAATAATAAGATTAAAAAAATTTTTTTAGAAAACTTGACAAGATTGAAAATAGGTTGGAGGAGAGCTAAAGTAGAGACGGGGAGAACCAATAGGGAGGCTTTTAACAATAATCGAGGAGAAACATGTACTTGAATTAAGGCAGTGGCTCTGAGAATAATCAAGAAAAAACAAACTTAAGGAGATAATAAGAGAAAAGAATCTGATAAACAACTGGGTGAGAGACGGAGAGGAATGGGTAAAAGGGAAGAGGCAATTATGATTCTCAGTTTCTGGTTTGGATTAGTGAGTATATAAGGGATAACATTTACCAAAATAGAAAAATACAAGAAGAGAAATGGATTTGAGGGAAAGGATAAATTCCCAATTTCAACATGCTGAGATGAAGGTTCTTGTAAAATATTCATGAAAGATGTCCATTAAGCTATGTGGGCTCGGCAGAGAGGTCTACACTATAGATATAGATTTATGTCATCGGCACATATTATTAATTGAAACCATAGTTTTGGATGAAGTTATTGAAGATCAGCATATAAACCAGTGTTTCTCTAAATGTCACCCTAAAATTATCTGCAGATTATTAAAACGCAGATTCCTAGACACCAGTTTAGATTAAATTTATCTAAGACTCATAGGCTGAAACCAAGGTGTTAGCTGGGCTGTATCACTTATTGAAAGCTCTGAGGGAGACTGCACTTCCAGGCTCATTCAGGCTGTTGGCAGAATTCAGTTCTATGCAGCTGCAGGACTGAGGTCCTTGTTTGCTTGCTAGTTGTTGTCTGAGTGCCACCCTTCACTCTCAGAGCCTTCCCTCTAGTCTTTGCAGGTAGCCCCTTACATCTGAGAACCAGCAACAGCTTATCCTTCTCACATTGCCACATCTCTGACTCCTCTGCTTTCCTCTTCCACTTTAAAGGGTCTGTGTGATTACATTAGTCTCTCCTAGAACATCTAAAATAATCTCCCTACCCTAAAATCTGTAACCTTAATTCCATCTGCAAAGTTCCCTTTTCCTTCTAATGTAACATATTCACAGGTTCAGGGATTTGGGAATGGACATCTTTGGGGTGCCAGTATTCTGCCTACCACAAGCGGTCTGATACAAGTCATTTTGTAGACATATATTTTCATTTCTCTTGGGTAAATATCTAGGAGTGGAATTGCTGGTTCATAGCACAGATACATGTGTAACTCTATAAAACACTGGGCACACAGCTGAATAAAGACTACATCACCTATCTTTCCTTCTTGTTAGTGTGTCACTAAGAACTGGTTAATGGGTTGTAAGTGGATGTGTCATATGCAACACCTGAGAAGTGTCCTTAAAGAGAAAAGTATGCGCCTTTCCATCAAGCTTCCCTCTTGCTATGAGCAGGTGGCATTTGGAATTAAAGCAGTCATCTCAATCATGAGGTAGCATGCTAAGGATGGCAGAACAGCAAGACAGAGGAATCTGAATCCCTGATGATCACAGAGCTGCTGCCATACCATCCGTGGCCTGCCTACCTATAGAATCATATGCATATTTAAGCCATTATTATATTTTCTATGTAATGAAACCAAATCCAATTCTAACACATCACAGTTTTAAATATCTATATGCTAGTGATCCCAAAGTGGTACCTTCAGCCACAATCTTTCCAGACTCATGTATCCAACAGCTACTGGAACATTTCCACTTGGATGTAAAACAGGCCTGTCAAACTTAACTGTCCAAAACAGAATTCTTTATTTTTTCTCCCTGAACTCTTCCTCCTCTCATTCTCCTCATCAGCACCAAACAAATAGTAAATGGTTTTTTATGATAAATGGTGAAAGATCTACCTCAGAGCTTAAGCAAAAAACACATGTTGGCCTTGATTCCTTGTTTTCCCCTCACCTCGTATCCAAACCATGCACAATTCTTGTTCTCTGCCATCAAAATATAACCCAAATCCTGCCATTTTTTTCCATCCTCACTGTTACTACTCTAGTGCAAGTCACCATCATCTCTCATTTGCAATGGCATCCTCAACGGTGCTTTTGTAGCTTAAAAAATCCTTCCCAGAGAGATGAAAAAGTTCTGGAGATAGGTAGTAGTAATGGTTGCATGATAACATGAATATCACTGAACTGTACACCTAGAAGTGGCTAAAATGGTAAATTTTATGTTACATGTATTTAACCCAAATAAAACAAAAAATTAATCTTTCCTAGAGACAACATAGCCTCCTATATTTCCTATTTTTTTCTAAATATTTTTCATGTGTGTCTTTCACACTTAGGTCTTCAATCCATTTGGAAATTACTATTGTGAACAGTGTGAAGCAGGAATCTAATTTTGTCTTCAATCTATGTGGATATCACATATCTCAGCATCATTTATTGAATACTCTGTGCTTTTGTAATACCAAAGCTTACCAAAGCTAACCTTATACTTAGCTTCCATATGTATGCGGACGTGTTTCTAAGCTCTCTATTCTGTTCCATGAGTCTACTTTCCTGTCCCTAAACCAATACCAGTAATTAAGACAGTAGTCTCAATTATCATGGCTTTATATTGTTTTGATATCTGGGAGGAAGAGACTTTATTTTTCTTCAAAATTGAGTTAGCAATTCTGGGTGCTTTGCCTTTTCATATACATGTTAGGTTCAGCATGTCAAGTTCCATGAAAAACTATACAGCAATTTTAATTAGAATTGCAGTGAAGCTGTAGAATTGGAGAAAACTGACATCTTTATGATACTGAGTCTTCCTATCCCTGAATATGGTATATCTCTCCATTTACCTGGGTCTTCTTTTATGTGTTTCAGTAGAGCATTATAATTTTCTCCTTAAAGGACTATGCAGCTTTAGTCTGATTTATTTCCAGATACCTTCTGTTTTTAATACAGTTATGAATAGTATCTTTTTTATTATTAAAATTCCTAGTTAGTTATTGCTGGTGTGTAGAAGTTACTGTTTTACTCAGAAATCTGCTTGAACTGAAGGCCATTTCTGATGACCTCCTAACCAAAGAAGCCCTCCCAGCCATTCTTTATAACTTCACATCAGTTACCCCTTCTTGTTAACTGATTTTTAGTGTCCCTCTCCCCCACTATAATTAGTTGCTTGTTCACCATTGTATAGAATAGGGTCTGTGCAATACATAATTGTGCAAAATGTCTGCTGAATAAATAAATGAGGTCTTAAATCTGGATGATTTGGAAAAATACAGGAAGAAAAGCAGATTTTGAAGTGAGGGTGGAGTGAGAACTAGTTCAGTTTGAGAGGCGGTGTTTAGAGTTCTCACAGGTCATTAATGTGCAGGCATCAGGCCAGCACATGGAGCACAAGAATGGAGGTTTGATGTGATGGAAGTGATGAGGCTGTCAAGGAGGAGAATGCATTCAAGAAGGAAAAAAAGAAAATATACTTGGGAAGAACTATACCTGGGTCAGATTAAAGAGAGAGGGAGCGAGCATGCACAACAACATGGAAACCAACCGGACGGGAAAGATTTGAAGCACAGGAAGAGGGAAATAAATGGAAGAGCTAGGTTCGTAAATCACATGAACACACAATTAGAGAAGTACAATTTCATCTAAGGAACAGAAAGCAAGAACCTCATTTCTCCATTGGTAAAGCCAATTGGAGAAAGAGACAGCTCTATTAGACCACAGATCCGAATTTGGGGAAGAGAGTAATTTTACTTTACTCTGGGTCTTTCACTTTAATATGACAATTACCGGGCTTGGAGGACCTATCAGCATTCAATCTATTCAACCTCTCGGGTCACAGCTAGACGCTGCCTTCTGAAAGGTTCGGATTTAAACGAGGAGACTGTTTCCCCCTCATTTTCATCGTCTTGCCGTGACCACCGCGCCTGGGCTAATGGTACCGGCAGGTGCTCTTTAGGCCTTGGATTGTAACTAGAGAAGAGTGGCAACTGGGAAAGAAGAGTAGGGCTACCGAGGCTGCGAGAGAGGCCCTCACCTCACGCTCAGCGGCAGGTCAGCGGGTCAGTCAGGGGCCGCGCCCCGTCACCGCCCTCCCCACTCCCCGCCGTGCCGGGCTTCGCCAGGGCCCCAGCCCGCCCCCACGAGCCCAGCCTTCCCTTCCTACCTGCCCGCACGCGGACTCAGCCAGCCCCGAGCTGTTCACCCGGGACCAGGTCGTCAGGGAGACCACCACTCTCCGCCGCTCCCTGCCCGCGCGCGTCCCCAACCAGCCGCTGGCTGCACGTGACCCCGCCCTCACCGCACGCCGCCCCGCCCCCTCAGCCGAGCCCGCGCCCCGCCTCCCGCCGGCGCGCTCCACCCACGAGCCCGTCGCTGTCGCGATGACGTAATCGGCGCAAGCGCACTCTGTCGGCGACGCTGAAGTGCTGCTGCGTCTGTGGGCGGAGGTTCGTGGCGTTGGCTCTTGGCGCAAGAGCGGAGCGTGGGGTGCCTGGAAGGTCGAGGGGTCTCAAAGAAAAAGAGGAGGAGGGGGAAAGTCCCAGAAGCCTGTCTTTCGGGTGCGGGGGTCTAGGGCGGTGTTCTGCCCCCTTTCTGGGCCCTTTCTGACGAGGCCGGGCGGCTGCCCCGCGGGAATTGAACGGTGGATTTCCTTCGGGGAGGCACTGCCCGGGACCCAAGTGTAGAAATTTAAGAAGGGTTAACTTTGCGTGCGCTGAGTGGTTTCTTTTCCTTCAAGCGCACATCATTGGGGAACATACTTTATTTGGCAGAGGAATACAAGATCTGGAGACATGGATTGTACTTTTTTTTTTTTTTTTTTGCCGGGAGCTGCGGCTTAATCTTTCGCTCCTTTTCGTCTGCAAAACGAGGTGGTCGGACTCACCATGTAATTTTTAGGTCCCCTTTCAGAGCTACCATCCTGTGATTCCTGTCTCCAAGGATATTACCTTTTATCATACTCCTGAGTAGGAAAAGAAATCTTTTGATTAGTGGACATGTTTTAGACCTGGATTGGGCACACTGCTGTGGAGTTAGGGCCCATGCTTTCATTAGGATTGACAGCGGGCAGAATTTTTTGCAAGTAAGATTTATGCATTGTTAATATTCCAAATAGACTCATTTTAATTTTGCTAAAAGATCAGAATATCTGTATGTTTTCCTAATGTTAGCTTTATGTCTTTAATAGACTTATATGTTTAGTCTTGGCATTTAATTTTTTGCCTCTTTTCAGAAGTAAATCACCAAAGGATATTGAAGTTGATGCTTTTGTATTTTGTCACCTTATCCTTTTATTAGCATTTTTAAGGTCATCTGCACCTTCTGACTTGGAAAAGATGGTCAACGTCTTGAAAGGAGTGCTTATAGAATGGTTAGTAGTTTTGATACTTAACAAATTTTAAATCTGCACATTGAATCTTGATTTGTATGTGTATCCCTTCCAAAGTCCATTTTTTTCTTTTGTTCTTAAGATTTGAATGAATCAAGTTTTTCAGCTTTCTCAACTGCATTTTTCTTACTTAATAACAAGTGGGACAGATGGTGGGGTTCTTTTTTGATTTTTAGAATTTTATTTTTTTATACAGCAGGTTCTTATTAGTTATCCATTTTATACATATTAGTGTATATATGTCAGTCCCAATCTCCCAGTTTCCCAGTTCATCAAGTGGGACAGATTTCGTTGCTAAGTTTCTTCCTGGTGCCAGATTTCAATGTTTCTGTTGAATAGATGTAATTGGCATTATTTCCAAGAAGTTTTGGTCAGCGGCAGCATGTTTGTTACATTAACCCTCTTTAGGGGAACAGTGCTTGTATTCTCAAATCGTCAGGGATTGACTAGAATTTTAGGGTCTGCCTAAGTCACACAAACTTTGGTCTTTAAAAAAGAGAAAAGAACAAGAAAGCGAGTTGAAGGTTTCTTAAACTAGGCACACATTCCAAAGGAGAAACTAGAAACTATGGGCAGAGTTGAGCTCCTCAAAGCTAATGTAGGGCTTAATTATCCCTAGTCTGAAAATCTGAACTGTTAGACCAGTCTTGCTCAGTCTCCACTTGTTTGTTTGCCCCACCAAACAATTCTGTCTCATCTGGGAGTCCTGCCCAGTGGACACTCCCATTGTTTGAAATTACTACTGTCTACATTTCTCTGCCTCTAATGTGAGCCATTATATGGATGACCGTACTGTTTCTGTGATGGCAAGGCTGGGGGAGGAGCAAGACCAAACCCTAGGGATCTCTGGCATTTAGAGCAGCACTGTCCAGTAGAAATATAATGTGAGCCACATATGTAGTGTTAAATTTTCTAGTAGCCACACTAAAAAGTAAAATGAAACAGGTGAAATTAATTTCTTAACTCTATACCCAAAGTATTTCGCCAGGTACTAAAATACACATTGGATTTTGAAGCTCTAGTATGAAAAAAGACAATACAATAAATTGTATTGTCGGTGAAGCCAGTGAAGTAGGAGGGAAACCAAGGGAATGGTTGATGAAAGCGAGTTGGCTGTGTCAAGTGCTGATGAGAGGTGGGGTAAGATGAAGACACACTGGAGGTCATCGGTTTTTTATGAGAGCTTTTTAATGGAGAGGTGGGATGGATGCCAGATCGGAGTACTTTGGAAAGGGAAAGGGGGGCAAGGAAGTAGAGACCATGTGGAGGAGTTTTGTTGTGATAATAAGCAAAGGAATAAAGAAATGGGTCGGTAGTTGAAGAAGGATATGTTAAGGAACTCTGGTTCTTGTTATTTTCATTGTTTTAAAGTGAGAGACTACAATGTATGTTGATAAAAATAAACCGCTAGAGAGGAGAGAGGTGTTCACTTGGGAAAGCCAAGAGGCGGATTGAGATCCCAGAAATTCTAAGCATGCTGTGCTGTTGTCTTTTGGAAAACACCTTCTAAGCTAATTTTTGTATTTTATTTTTCTTATTACTTTGTCATAATTAATAGAAACATTTTCCTGGTTGGTCTTTTTTAAAAATTTTATTTATTTACTTATTTTTGGTCAAGTCGGGTCTTTGTTGCTGTGCGCGGGCTTTCTCTAATTGTGGCGAGCAGGGGCTACTCTTCATTGCGGTGGCTTCTCTTGTTGGGGAGCACGGGCTCTAGGCGTGCGGGCTTCAGTACGTGTGGCTCGCGGGCTCTAGAGCGCAGGCTCAGTAGTTGTGGCGCACGGACTTAGCTGCTCCGCAGCATGTGGGATCTTCCCGGACCAGGACTCAAACACGTGTCTCCTGCATTAGCAGGCGGATTCTTAACCATTGCACTACGGGAAGCCTCCGGTTGGTCTTTTAACATTATTTTTAACACAGAGGATACACACACACACAGTGTCGGCTATCAGTTTTTTCCCTTTTGTTTCTTCTGATTTTCCTAAAGTTAATCATTCTGGATTTGATCAATATTCACCTCTGTCCTAGGGTTTTCATATTTTTATTTTCATTGATATTTTGAGTTTCATTCATCTAGAATTTATTGAGAGGAGGGGCATATTATGAGGTGAAGATCTAAATTAGCTGCCTTTTTTTTTTTGGTTAAATAGCTGAATAATTATCCAACACCATTTATTTCCTTCCCAAATGATGTGTGATGACTCCTTTATCACAGAGTTTCACTCCCCTTGCTACTCTCCCTAATCCCATCCCACATCCATTTTTTTCTTTGTCATTGTTACCTATTCGAGAATATCCTTGGAATAATTTAGTCTAGTTCCAAAATAATCCTTTTGGAATGATGGTTGGGATTGTATTACACCTATATTTTATTTTTTTTTAATAATGCTAGGCTGCATTTTTTTTTTTTTTAATTTTTTGTGGTACGCGGGCTTCTCACTGTTGTGGCCTCTTCTGTTGCGGAGCACAGGCTCCGGACGCGCAGGCTCAGCGGCCATGGCTCACGGGCCCAGCCACTCTGCAGCATGTGGGATCTTCCCAGACCGGGGCACGAACCCGTGTCCCCTGCATCGGCAGGCGGACTCTCAACCACTGCACCACCAGGGAAGCCCTAGGCTGCATTTTAAGGAGCAAAACTTTGGGAAACTCAAAATTTCGGTGGTAGACTTTCAGTTTAGCCGTAAGAACAAAGAGTACAGATTTGTAAGAGGAACTGAGGTTTAGTTTTCTTTCCTGATCCGGCAAGCTCTCTGCTAGTTTGCTTGTTACCAGCCTCTGAATTCTGCCTAGGTGCTGAACAACTTGCTTTTCCATGTATTCTCCAGACTAGCAGCAACAGCATCATCTGGAGCTTGTTAGAAATGAAAATTTTCAGACCTCACCCCATATCTACTAAATCAGAATTGTGCATAAAAAAGGATATTGACACAGTGCATTTTAAGTTTGAGAAGCACTTAATTAGCTTAAGTTTGATAATCAGTTCCCCTATGGAGAATGGTTTTGCAGCAAGACTACAGTGTACTTCAATTTTATTTTGCAGATGGATACTATCCTTGCAAAACTATTTTTTCCCTTCAAAGTGAAGTCTAAAGTGTAGCCTGAACAATTTTTCAAAAGGGTAACTGTCTTCCCAAAGATACAGATCTTCCAAGAAGACTCCAGGCCTAAGCAATAATAGATTCATAAAGGGCATGGCCAGGGCCTGTGGGTCCTCCTTCATGTGTAGGTGCACATGTTGGGATGATGGTAACTAAAGTCCTTCAGTTTCCCTCATGCCTATATTTGATTCCAAAGAGAAGATTGTTAATAATACAGTATCAGTATAAGCCAGTTCTTATAATATCCATAGATTATATGAAGCATTTAGGTGTATTGGAATACAGATCTACATTAAAAAAGCAAATAAGCCAGAGTATAATGTTGGCCATTTAGGCCCAACTATCAGTGAATTGAAAAATCAAAGTACTTGGATATAATAAGGTTCTCTCCTCCCAAGGCTTATCAAATACCACAAACTAAAGTTGGTTTTTTGTTTGTTTGTTTGTTTTTGTTTTTTGCGGTATGCGGGCCTCTCACTGTTGTGGCCTTTCCCGTTGCGGAGCACAGGCTCCGGACGCGCAGGCTCAGCAGCCATGGCTCACGGGCCCAGCCGCTCCGCAGCATGTGGGATCTTCCCGGACCGGGGCACGAACCCGTGTCCCCTGCATTAGCAGGCGGACTCTCAACCACTGCGCCACCAGGGAAGCCCAGTTTTTTGTATTTTTATGTCAAAATGAGATTGTTGAAAACTTCCTCTTTGTTGGGATCCACCACTATCGACTGCCAGCCTCACACCAAGTGTTTTCCCGAATCTAGCCAACCATAGCAGTTACCGAAGCAAGCAGCATATG